GAGGATATGGAGAGATTTTAACACTCATTCACTGCTGGTCAAAGTGTAAAATGGTGCAACCACTGGGGAAGGCAGTCTGATGCTTTCTCAAAGAGTTGCAAATAGAGATATCATTTGATTCCACTACTGGGAATATAATCCAAAGTAGTAATAGCTACAACATGAATATATCTGTATCTATATCTATATCTATATATCTATATCTGTATATAGGTATCATCTATATCATCCCCCATATTTATGCAGCATTATTCATGACAGCAAAGAAAAGAAGAGCCCAACTGCCTATCAATAAGCAAATGAACAGAGAAACTGTCAAACAAACACTCACAGAATAGGGTGTTAAGTGGCATTGAAATACATGGATGACTCTAGAGTTGAGTGAAATAAGTCAAGTCACAAAAGGACACATACTGTATAAGATCACTTTTATTAAATAAAAAAAACCACCAACCAACCAAAAAACAAACAACAACCTAATCAAACAAGAGAAAGTTTAAGTCTAAAGATAATCTAGTAGGGTCATGGGGTGAAGAGTAGGAAAAGAATGCATAGACAATGAACACTTTTTAAAAAAAAGATGATGGGAAGGACAATATGAAATGAATGGAGATTAGACACTGTATGTACTATAATTAACAACTAACAGGATATGCACTAGTGACTGACTAGGGGTAAAAAAAGCTAAAGAAAGGTTTACACACAGAAACAACTGCGGAGGACTGACAGGGATGAGACAGGAGGGAGGAGGAGTAGAGATTAGCCGACTGATGGGTAGGGTGAAGGGAAAAGGCAAGGTACAGTGAGGGTTTGATGAGACATTATAATAAATGGCACTGATTAATTATAATTAATGCTATAAAACAAAATGTTTAAGAACGATTGAATGAGATATCCCATTGCAAAAAAAATGAACCAACAGAATTGAAGGACAGAGTCCAAGCTTCATTGAAGGCACTCAGAAAAAAAAAATAAGATCCTAGTTATTGAATGAATGTCAGTTGAGGTGTTTCTGCAAACATCTGGATATGCCCTCTAGTGTATGCCAAGAAATCTGAAAGAGAGCAACCTGGACAAGTGACTAGAAATTTGTCCCCATTCCTCCTCAAAAAAGGGATCCAGGAGAATATGGACATTACTGAATAATATTATTCTCGCATTCAAGTAAAATCTTACTGAAGATTATTCCGAAAATGACTGGAACAGTATATTAAGAGAAAATTGTCACTAATACAAGCTGGATTAAGAAGAGGCCAGGAAAAAAGGACTATCACTGCTGATGCCAGCTGGATCTTTGCCAAAAGCAGAGACTGTTAGAAAGAAAAATTTGTGTTTTATTGAGTATACAAAAGCATTTATGTGAATCACAGCAAACAAAGGCTAACACTGAGAAGAATGAGAATCCTACAACAATTAATTGTGCTCAAACCCATATATGGATTTAGAAGCAGTATAAGAGAACAAGTACATGGTTTAAAATCTGGAAACGTGCATCCTTTCACTTTATGTTCAGTAAATAATTTGAAAAACTGGGCTATATGAAGGATGTGGCCTCAAAATTGGAGGATGGCTCATCAATAGCCTATGTTACACAGATAATACAATTCTGCTTGCTGAAAGTGATACAGACTTTATGTACTTACTGAAGAAGATCAAAGACTATAGTCTCCAATATGGATTACATTCCAACATAAAAAAAACAAAAATTCTCACCACTGGACCAACAGACAATATCATGATAGACACAGAAAAAAATTGAAATTGTCAATTTCATTTTACCAGGATCCACAATCAACACCTATAGAAATAGCAGCCAAGAAATCAAAGGAAGTATTGCACTGAGCAAACTGACTGTCAAAAATCTCTTTAATGTGCTAAAAAGCAAGGGCTTAGATAACAAAAATAAGGTATGCTTGACACAACCATGGTATTTTCAATTGCTTCTTATGCATGTGTAATGTTAGACAATGACTGTTGTTGTTAAGTGCCGTTGAGTCGTTTGCGACTCATAGCAACCCTATGTACAACAGCCCTAAACTCTGCTCTGTCCTGTGCCAATTGCACTGTCTCCGATACACCCATCCCGACTACCCCAGTCACTGAATCAATCCACCTCACAGAGGGTTTCCCCCTCCTGCGTTGTCCCTCTACCCTCCCAAGCATGATGTCCCTCTCCAAGGACAGGTCCCTCCTTACAACATGTCCAAAGTATGTCAGACAAAGCCTCAAAATCCTTGCCTCCAAGGAGCAGCCTGGTTTAACCGGAAGGAGGAAGAAAAGACCAAAACGGATGTCAGAAGAAACTCTGAATATTGCACTGGAGTGCAGAGAAGCCAAAGCACAAGGAAGAATTCAAGATATTAAAGAGCTGAACAGAAGATTTCAAAAGGCAGCACGGGATGACAAAGTAAAATATTACAATGAAACGTGCAAGGAGTTGGTGTCAGAAAATCAAAAGGGTCGAACTCGCCCAGCATTTCTTAAGCTCAAGGAACTGAAGAACAAATTCAAACCTCGAGTTGCTATAATCAAGGATGCTTTAGGCAGAATACTAAATGATCTAGGAAGTATTAAAAGAAGATGGAAGGATATACTGAGTCACTGTATTGAAAGGAATTGGCAGACACAGAAGAATTTCATGAAACAACATATGAGCAAGATACTATAGTGATGAAGGAAGAAGTTGAAGCTGCTTTGAAGGAAATAGCAAAAAATAAGGCCCCAGGAATAGATGGTATACCAATTGACATATTTCACTTAACAGATGCTGCCCTGGACGTGCTCACCAAGTTGTGCCAAGAAATCTGGAGAACAACCACTTTGCCAACTGACTGGAAGAGATCTGTATTTGTTCCCATCCCAAAGAAGGGTGACCTAACAGAGTGTGGAAACTATAGAACAGTATCATTGATTTTATATGCAAGCAAGCAAGATTCTACTGAAGATTATAAAAAAAATGACTGGAACATCAGTAGAGAACTGCTGGAAGTCCAGGCTGGGTTCAGAAGGGGTCGTGGTACTAGGGATATTGTAGCTAATGTTAGATGGATCTTAGCTGAAAGCAGGGAATACCAGAGGAATGTCCATCTGTGTTTCACTGATTATGCAAAGGTGTTTGACTGTGTGGATCATAACAAACTGTGGCTGACTCAGAAGAATGAGAATCCCAGATCATGCTAATACGAAACCTATACTTGAACCAAGAGGCAGTTGTTAGAACAGAGCAAAGAAACACTGCATAGTTCAAAACTGGGAAGGGCGTGCACCAGGGATGTGTCCTGTCTCCATACCTTTTAAACCTGTATGCAGAACAGATCATCATGGAGGATGGGCTCTTTGAGGAGAAATGTGGTGGAAGATCTAGCAACAATCTGCATTATGCAGATGACACAACCCTGCTTGCTGAAACTGAGGAGGACCTGAAGTGCCTGTTGCAAAGGGTCAAGGACTGCAGCCTTCAATATGGATTAAGGCTCAGTATCAAGAAGACAAAGATTCTCACCACTGGGCCAATTGGCAGCATCAGGATGGATGGTGAAGAGATTTGAGATTATTCACAGCTTTAGTTTGCTTGGCTCCACAGTCAACATTCTGGGCACCAACAACCAGGAAATTAAAAGGGTAACTGCAATGGGAAAGTCTGCTGTTAGGACCTCTCCAAAGTACTGAAGAGCAATGGTGTCTCTCTGGAGACTAAGGTGCATCTGATACAGACCACTTGTTAAGCATCAGAGAGTTGGATGATGACTAAGGGAGGATAGAAAGAGAATTGATGCCTTTGAGCTGTGGTGCTGGAGAAGAGTATTAAGTGTACCATGGATTGCTACGAAAACAAACAGACAATGACTAAGGAAGCACAAAGAAAAACTGATGTGAAAACATTATGATGTTGGTGAATAGTATTGAATATATCATAAGCTACCAAACAATAAACAAGTACAAATGAGAAGTGCAGCCACGGTGCTCCTTAGAATCAAAGCTGGTCAAACCTTGACGCATATACTTTAGAAATGTGGTTTGGAGGGACTAGTATTTGGAAGAAGACATCACATTAGGAAAGCAGATCAGCAAAAGAGAGGAAAGCCCTCAACAAGCAGTTAGAAAAAATTGAAAGTGATGGTTTCTGAGAAGAGCTTGGTCAGTGTGAAATACTAAATTTTAACATTATGTACGTGTATCCTAATTTTAAGCTTCATCTTGATTGGATCCACAATTAACACAGTCAGGAAATAAAGAGATGCACTACACTAGGAAAATCTGCAGTTAAGGACCTTTTCAAATTATTGAGCAGTAGTGATGTCAGTTTGAGGACTAAGGTGAGTCTGATTCAGGCCATAGTCTTTCTGATTAAGAGCTATGTATTTGGGATCTGAACAATGAATAGGGACGACAGAAAAAGAATTGGCATCTTTGAGCTGTGGTGTTGAAGAAGGAACTAACATCCCATGAATGGCCAAGAGAACAAACAAATAGATTATGAGGCTTTGCCTTCCATACTTTGGACGTATTGCTAGGCGGTTCTATTCCTTCTATTCCATGATGTTGGGAAGGGTGGAGGGTTGGTGAGGGAGAGGAAGACTCTCGACCAGGTGGACTGACACAGTGACTGCTGCAAAGAGCTCTTGTGTGTCAGGAAGATGAGGATGGCGCAGGACAGGACTGGTTTCAGATCTTTGTTCAGCATCACTATGAATCGTGCTCAACTCAACAGCATCTAATGACAACACTTTTAAAAATGATCATACTAATCAGTAAAAACAAATGGAATGCAGGGTCCATTATTTTTCTTGTTCCAAACATTAACACTAGGGAGCACTGGTGGTCTACTGGCAAGAAGCTGCACTGCAATCCCAAAGACATGCAGTTCAAATCCACCAGCTGCTCCCTAAAAAACCTGTTGGGAGGGACAGCTATGGGTTGGTTCCAACTCGCCGTCACACAATAACAACAACATTAATACTAACTGATATGTCCCTTGGATTCCCTTCCCTTTTGTTTACCTGGGTTTTTTGGTGGGGGGTGCATCATCGCTGAGGAATCCAATTAGCTTGTCTATATCAGAGGCCTGGCTCCCTGTAGAAGCCATCCAGTTTCTAAAATAGATTGATATCAATAGTGATGATTAGATCATTAAAGTATATAATTTAAGATAGTGTATAATTTAACAGAATAAATTGTACATCTTAAAGGTGTTCTGGATATATTTTCTGCTTTAAGAGAAATTCATTGATCAATGAGAAATCCACATTTAAGCTATTAACTAAATTCACCTAAAAGAGGTAATCCTTTTAAATTAATCTAAAAGAGTTAACTCCTACCCTCACACTTCATGCAGTAAAATGCTTCTTTGATTTTACTCTCACCAGAAAAGCAAAAATTTTTACAAAATCATAGAAATGAGCTAGAAGTAAATGATTTTTCTATTAAAACCACTGATTCTGTTGGTATTATGGAATGAATTATGTTTCTACAAAAATATGTATTGAAAATACTAACATTTACATTTATGGTTGAACCCTGATGGCACAGTGGCTAAGACATTCAGCTGCAATAGCAAAGGTTGGCAGTTCAAACCAACTAGCTACTCCATGGGAGAAACATGTGGCAGTCTATTTCCATAAATATCAAACTCAAACTCAGAAATGAGTCCTACACTGACTTTGTAGCCCACTGCCCTCCAGGACTAAGTCACCAGAGCTCCCACCCTGGGAATCCTCTTAGATAATGCTATCCTTTCTTACAGGGAAGCTATGGGTCAGAATCCAGTTATTATACCAGTGGTCTTGTTTGAGAATAGGTTTGTTTGTGTTTTTTTGTTGCTTTGTTAATGCTGCAGTATTAGTTTAGATTGTGTTTTATGGCAAACTCTTTTGATATAGAAATCATGGAAGCATGCAAAAACTGATAGACAAGTTGTGTGAAGGGAAAGGCAATACACAATAAGGAGTTGGTTAGATATTGGGATTAATCTAATGAATGTTGTAAAAGTCTATGAATAACTGTATGAAAAATCAGTTTTATTTGTAAACTTTCATTAAAATAATTTTTTTAAAAAAGGAAAAAACACACACACACACACACACAGGGGGAAGGAGGAGGAAAGAGAGACCGAGAGCAAGAGAACGTGAGAGATCCGGTGCTTTGAACTCAGATGTCTAGCTTCTTAAAATGTGAGGAACCGAGTTTCTGCTTGCCACCCACTTTTTATTTTAGTCTAAAGAATGCTTCATAAGTGGACTAGGGGAGAAGCAGGAAGGAAAATGTGCAATAGAGAATGCTTCATGTGATTCTCACAATCTAACATTTATCACTAGTAGCATCTAAGCATTAACTTTATCTTATTCCAGCTACAGTTCTGAGAAAAAAGAAAAGTCCAATTAGAGTTTACCTTAAACCACACACACACACACACACACACACACACACACACACACACACACACACTATGTAAAGGCTCTGATTTAATCATAAAGGAGCTCAGGTGGTGTAGTATGTTGAAGAAGCAATAAAAAAGTTGGCAATTTGAATGTACTGGTTATGCAAGGGAAAAAGATGGGGCAGTTTCTTCCTCTTAAGACTTCTTACCTTGCAAACCCAACAGAGGGAAATCATGAGTTAGAATCAACTCATAGCAGTGGCTTTAAGTTGGGTTTAGGTAGGTAAAAGCCTTACACAGAAATCCTAAATTCCTAATCAACTAGTCCACCCAGTTATTTCTTTACCTGGTCACTATTTGAATCTTCACTGTAATTAAAAGTACTACATTTATGTGTATTACACATTTATTGCAGCAATGGGCTCACGTTTGTCAGAGATGATGATGGCGGCACAGGATAGGGCAGGTTAATCTAATGTTCATATTGTTGCTATGAGTTTTACTTGACTAGATGGCACCTAACAACAAACAACAACAACAACAACTACATTTAGTAAAGAATAAGAACGACTGAAGAAGAATGATGCCTTTAAATTGCAGTACTGGTAAGTACCATATAAATCCATGGACTGCTAGAAGAACAAACTGCTTTGAGAGAAGCAGAATATTCTTTACCAAGCAAGGATGGGGAGAACTTGAATCACATAGTTTGGACATATTATCAGGAGGGGGAGTCCCTGCAGAAGGTTACAAAGCTTGGAAAAAATAGAGGGTCAGTGAAAAAGAAGACCCTCAATAAGGTGGACTGGCACAGTGGCTACAACAATGGATTCAAACACAGCAACAATTGTGAGAATGGTGCATGGCTGGGCAGTGTTTGCTTCTACTGCATTGGGAGCTGCCATAAGCAGGAATCAATTCAACAGCACCTAACAACAATATATTTCTGCCACAAGAAAACAAAACCAATTATCTGCAGTAGTGTCTTCATTACTCCAGTTATTGCTAAGCTGCTGAGAAGTCTATTTTAAGAGTAAAAAGAGATGAAAGTGACCTAAATACTCATCAGTGGATGAGTGAATAAACTGTGCACATACATACAAGTGAACACTACACACAGTGATTAAAAAAATGATAGTCCCATCAACAAACGAATGGCTAGAGAAGCTGTGGTATATTCGCACAATGGAATACTATGCTGCATTAAAAAACAAGGAACTCATGCAATATTAC